GTGCAAGATTCAAGCGCATGCGCGGTAGTTCCGCCGTCGGACAACGAACCGGTTGCTTCGCCAGCCCTTCAATTGGAGGATCCGTCAAGTTGGGCCAGTCTTGAGGAACTCGACCCATTGACGGTTAAGGACTTCCAATGGTTGCCTCTTCCCTCCACCGGTTCTTTGCCAACAGCGCATTGCAATTCCTTAATGACACATCTGCGTGAATACTTGCACGCTGCAGTACCACCTCGGTCGACGGACGACTAAGTAGCGGTTGTTGACCTTCGTAACTATCTTGCGAAGATCGACTGCGAGTACGCAACACAACGGTACGTTGATATCGACGCGCCACTCCTCTACATCCGCATTCAGATCGGAAAGGCGACCTGCAGTGCCTTGATCGATTGTGGAGCGATTCACAATTACATCAGCCAAGACTTCATGACACGCGCCAGGCTTGGCCCGCGCGTTCGAAGGAAAAGTCAGCCTACGCACGTCACGTTGGCCGATGGTCACACGCAAAAGTCAATCGACCGATGCGTTGACTCGGTGCTCGTGTACTTTGCCCCACTAGCATGCGAGGCCGTGTCTTTCGACATATTGGACACCAAGTTCGATATAATCCTAGGCATGTCGTGGCTGCAAAGCGAAGACCATCCGGTGAACTTCCATCGACGCACCGTTCACGTTCGTGATCGGCGTGGCGAACTAGTCCCGTGTACGGTGCCGCTTCCTCATCCTTCGATTGGTTGTCACGTGGTCTCCGCGGCGAGCATTCGCCAATCCATCCGGCGGAACGACATCGAGGAGATGGGCATATGTTTTCTTCACGCCCTCCCATCCGGTGATCAGCCCAAGACGGATACGTCGGACCCACGCATCATTGAGTTGTTGAACAGCTATGAGGATGTCTTCCAAGCTCCCGCCGGAGTCATACCGGATCGGCCCATACGCCACGGGATCACTCTCGAGGACGGCGTCGTACCTCCGCGTGGATGTATCTACCACATGAGCGAAGAGGAACTTCAAGTGCTTCGGGCACAACTAGACGACCTCTTAGCCAAGGGCTGGATACGCCCGAGCTGTTCGCCATACGGTGCCCCCGTTCTCTTCGTCCGGAAGAAGAACAAGGACCTTCGTTTGTGCATCGACTATCGGAAACTTAACGTGCAAACGATCAAGAACGTCGGCCCTCTCCCTCGGATCGATGATCTTCTCGAGCGACTAGGCGGCGCCAAGTACTTCTCAAAGCTTGACCTCAAGTCCGGATACCACCAGATCGAGATCCAGCCAAGAGATCGGTACAAAACCGCATTCAAGACGCGGTATGGGCACTTTGAGTGGATCGTCATGCCTTTCGGTCTCACCAATGCCCCGACTACTTTCCAAGCGGCTATGATGACGGAATTCCGCGACTTGCTCGACCACACCCTACTCATTTACCTTGATGATATCTTGGTTTATAGTCGGACGCTGGACGAGCACCTTCGCGCGGTATTGGAGCGGCTCCGTATCGCCAAGTACATGGCGAATCGCGACAAGTGCGAGTTTGCCCAGCAAGAGTTGGAGTACTTAGGCCATTACGTCACGCTGCAAGGCATTCGTCCGCTCGCGGACAAGGTACAAGCCATTCAAGATTCGTCGGACCTCAAGTGTACTACTGACGTCCGCTCCTTTCTCGGCTTGGCATCATACTGCATGCGCTTCGTCAAAGGATTTCAACGTATCGCTGCACCATTGTCGCGACTTCAGTCCCCCTTGGTGCCCTTCGAGTTCAGCGACGAGGCCCGGCATGTGTTTCACACGCTGAAGACGGCTTTGCTCCAAGCTCCCGTCTTAAGCATCTATGACCCGACCTTGCCTACCAAAGTGACTACGGACACTTTCGGCTATGGCATTGACACGGTTTTGGAACAGCATGACGGCACGGACTGGCATTCGGTTGAGTACTTCAGCCAAAAGGTGCCGCCCATCAATACTCTTGATGACGCGAGGAAGAAGGAACAACTAGCTTTTGTCACCGTACTTAAGCGTTGGCGTCACTTTCTCCTCGGACGTCGGCAATTCACGTGGGCAACGGACAACAATCCGTTGACGTATTACAAGACGCAAGACACGGTGAGCAGCACGATCGGTCGATGGATGTACTTCATTGACCAGTTCGACTTCACCTCCAAGCACATTCCGGGCTCCTCGAACAACGCAGCGGATGCTCTCTCACGAAGACCTGATCTTTGCGCCTTGGTGCACTCCACATTCGGCCTCGACGAGAACGTGCAACAGCATTTCGTAAACGGCTACAAGTCGGATCTGGGATTCTCCACACTCTATGCGGACTTATCATTGGATCAACCGCCGGCAAACAACTATCGCATTGTCGACGGCTACTTGCTTCTTCATACACGAGGCAAGGACTTGTTGTATGTTCCCCGAGACCGCATCTTGCGCACTTGCCTCCTTGGCGAATACCATGATTCGCGGCTGGTGGGACACCTTGGCGTCGCATGCACACTAGCACGACTCCGCCAGCGATTTCACTAGTCGGACATCATCAGCGACGTCAACCGGTATATGCAGTCATGTGCAGTTTGCCACTGGAACAAAGGGCCCCATCAGCTCCCGTACGGCAAACTGAAACCATTGCCGATTCCTCGGGAACCGGGTCTCTCCATTGCTATGGATGTGACCGGCCCTTTCCCTCGCGATCGCCTTGGCCACCACGGTATTCTCGCGGTCGTTGACCGTTTGAGCAAGTACGCTCGATTTCTTCCATGCAAGTATCATGCGACGGCTCCGGAGCTCGCACAACTCTTGCATACCGGCTGGTTTTGCAGTCACGGCGTCCCGGAAGACATCGTCAGCGACCGCGATACTCGTTTCATGTCAGCCTTGGACGACACTCATGGTGGAATCAGGCACCAGCATGGAACCGAGTTCCGCACGGCATCCTCAAACGGATGGGCAAACGGAACGTGCGCACCAGACTGCGCAGATGATGCTCCGCACACTCATCCGACCGGATCAGAAGGACTGGGTTGACCGCCTTCCCAACATCGAATTCGCCTACAACACCTCGGTGCACCCGGCGATTGGCGTGACTCCATTCGAGTTGCATCATGGTGGACGGAAAGGACGTATCTTCGCAGACATTTTGCTTCCACAGGTTGCCGATATCGACGCCGATTGCACCCCCGCTTCTACACGGAAGTACAAGGAACTGCTGGCCAAAGACCGCGCAAACATGCAAAGGGCTCAGGTCCGTATGCAGCAGCAAGCGAACCGGCGTCGCCTAACATGTCCAATCGCGCGGGCGACCTGGTTTGGGTCACCTCCGAGGAATTTGCGCTCGAGCAGCACGTCTCGCGCAAACTCCTCCCTAAGTGGTTTGGACCATGGACGGTCACTTCAGCAGCTGGCGACGACCCCGCGGGTCCATCTTTCATCATTGAGATACCCCCGCATTTGACGGTCCACCCGATATTTTACGCTTCAAAGCTGGCGGTCTACACTCCAGCCTCCGCAGCGGATTTCCCGGGCAGACGGTCACAGGACCCTCCTTCAATGGATGGTCATCAACAGGTCGACCGTGTTCTCACACATCGCAAACATGGCAACAAGCCTATGCAGTACAAAGTTACATTTAAGCAATGCGATCCGGACGACACACGCTGGATTTCAAGAGCTGACCTGAAGGCGACAACACCCCTCATCTTCGCGCATTATGAAAAACAGCGACTTGCTAAGGAAGCTGCCCAACCTGCCCATCCCGTACGGACATCGGACAGACAGCTTCGCCCTCGCAGTTAGCTCGGTCTTCAAGGGGGGGAGTGTGTGGCATTCTGAGCCACACGGGCCCCAGTTAGGGCCCGGTTCCAGACAGGCAGGGTAGGCCTAAGGGACGACGGTTCAGATGAGGCCCAGTTAGGCCTGGACCATGGCAGTTCAGGCAGGCCAAGGGTAGAGGCCCAGGCCAAACGGTCACAAGGCCGGTACCGGTCCAGCACAGGACCTACCGGCGGTGCTGCAGAGGCTGCCGCATTATTGGCGCCAAGTCCAGTTTAAATCTGGACCGTTGATTCAGATCAATGGTCCAGGCCGGTAGGTACCAGCAGGTAGGATGCCGGCCCAGCACTACAAAAGGCTGGGTACCAGCCTCAGTGGTAGGTTAGTATGGACGAGCGGTTAGTCTTCAGGATTAGCGCATCAGTTCAGCGTTAGCTCCATTAGCACAGCGCTGCAGCACAGGGGTAACAGAGCGAGAGAGCCAGAGTTCAGCGGTGAGCGGATTAGCGCAGCGTTGGGCACAGCGCCAGTTACCGGCCCAGCCCCCTTGCAGCGCCATAGCTACTGTACCAGGTACCAGGGAGGAAGGCTTCGCCTTCTCTCCCTCATCTCCTCCACCGCTCCTCTCTTCTCTCTCTCTCTCTCTCTCTCTCTCTCTCTCTCTCTCTCTCTCTCTCTCTCTCTCTCTCTCTCTCTCTCTCTCTCTCTCTCTCTCCTCCTACCTTCTCAGTCTAAGTCTACTTCTGGATTCTCCTACGGGACTACTACAAGTATGAAGGATGGTTACGACTTCTGATGATATTGGAGACAGCGACATTGGGACTATAGGTTGAGGACTATTTGTGGGATCTGATTTCATCTTCTCTGGAGATGTACTTGACATTGTGAGACCGATATCTGAGACATTGTGGGGTACTGTATTCACAACATTTCGGGTTTTCSRCATCTYTGATATTTSAAGATACTATMTTTGGAAMCATYGAGTTGACGTCATCTTCCCTCTCMTCCTCCCTTCGTCTCTCTCCTCCCTCCATTCGTCTGTGGATGATCTCAGACCTTGGCCTTTCGTCTATGTCTAAGGCCAGGGCTTTCACACCCCTGATGAATGTTTGAGAGTGTTTCGATTGCAGTCCGAGTCAGGTCCGAGTCAGTCCAAGGTATCTCACTCGTCCACTGTATTTGTATCAACTCTGTATTATCTGGTCGGTTCTGGGAATCTGCGCCATACTTATGACTGTGTTTCACGAGTATGCAACACAAAGGAGTGGATATTGCCGTTTGGAACAAAGGAACTGCAACAACCTGTGGAGCTGGCACAGAGAGAATTGGGCCAGACAAAGGAACAGGCTGCTGATCCCCGGACAAGTAATGATGCCGCGGATGGGCGAACCACAAATCTGTGCCCCTCCACGCGCAGACCACATGGGTGATCTGCAAATGACTGACCAGCAAACAACCCAAGACAGTTTGGGCTTGCAACACCATCTGGGTGATCTGCAAATCGTTGGCTAGCATCCGGTACACCAGCCGGGGACCCTCACCAATCTCTGTGGTGTGACTGCAACTAATATCTGTCTTCACATTCTCCAACGCCCGTTTTATACACCATCAGACTTCCGTGCTATCGCCCTTCAGCTTAATGCTGATCCCCCCCCGCCAGAGGATTGTAATATACCAGGGAAAGAGGCTTTATCATTGCTGTCCTACAAGTAGCAATGAGGGACCGTCAAGTTGAACAACGCAATGCTCGAGCAGGTGAGTGGTTTAATCCTCCATCCCACATCTCTGCCTGCATTGTGCACGGACCTGGCCATTACATGGCCATCGTGCATGCCTCTGACCACTGGGAGCTGTGGGACAATGGCATCGTGGTCCATGCCATGACTGATGTTACTGATTTCTTACATAATGATGCTGTTTTCCCAAACTGTCTGCAATCTCTTCTTTGTTGAAGATCATCATTCCTCTGGCCCCGCGCCCCAGCAGGACAATGTACGAACACTCTGCGACCTTCCCCTTTGCATAGCTACAGACACTGTTACACTTGGCTGTAGCTGCCATCGTCTCTGTCACAATCACTACAATCAGATGGTTTCTGCATCCATGTGTGTAGAGGACTGTCCCTCAGTTCCTGACTGCAGGCACCCTCCGCATCCGGACACTATATGTCCATTTTGCGGCCATGGGCGCTATACTGAATGCATGGTCTTCTGTGGTGAGCGTTCTTCCTTCATTTTGGCCTGCAATCGACATGCCATTTGTCGGGAGTGTATGGTGGGCATGCCCAATGCCAGCAATTGTGGCAATGGTTGTGCTGATAATGCTCAGCTAGGTCTTCCATGTGCTCACCCACCTCATCCTTACAATGTGTGTCCTCTCTGTCGTCAAAAGGACAGACTCACTCTTGAGCTTTTCTTATCCTCTCCTTTGCGTTCATCTTCATTCCATACGTCATACTTTCCCTTACTTTCCCTGTTGGTTCTTTGTTCGTCTTCTCTTCATCTCTCTTCCCTGTGTTTATCACCTTCCCCTTTACTCTGCCTCTTTCTCACAGCGTACAAGTGGGTCGTTATGGCACAAGGAGATGCGGGCAGCTTGCGCTCAACTTCATCAACGTGGCAAGCCTTGTACATGAGAGGCATACTGAAGGGGGAGTTAAAAGAAGAATGATAAAAATAAATGGTTTCAGTGCCCCTCATGTGTGTTTTGTTTTTTTAATCCTTGCCTTTTGTTTCGCAAAGTGCGCTCTTTTAGTTCGTAGGTATGTGACAATATACATATATATGTATATATATATACTCCGACGAAACAGTTTGTCACAGCCCCTCGTTTCTTGTGCTCTTCTCTCTCTCTGCGTACGATTTACGGGGTAGCTCTGTTTGACGATACCTCAATGACCATCCTCATATTTCTGCCTGTATTTTACACAGACCCGGGCATTATATGGCACTCATTCGTGCAGCTGCCCAGTGGGAACTGTGGGATGGTGGGACAATGATTCAGCCTATTTCCAACGTAAACGAGTTTTTGGGTGCATTGCCGAATCATACTTTATTAAGTTTATTCTGGATTATTGACCGACTCTCGTGTGACACCTGTCGGGGCAGAGACGCGGTGCGTCTTGGTTGTGGTATTCATCATCTATGCCATCACCATTATCAAACTATTGCAGCCGCCGCCCTCTGTGCCGAAGGGTGTCCAACATTCCCTCATTGTAGACATCCCTATCACCCAGACATTCGTTGTCCCTTTTGTGAACAAGGACGCTATCAGAACTGCATGATGCCGCACTGTGATGAACGTCCTGCTGCTTTTTTGACATGTGGACAGCATGTCCTTTGTCAGGACTGCTTTGATGGCATGGTCCGTGCTAGCCGTCCTGCTGAATGCTGTGCTGGCGCAGCTCTCCTCGGGTATCCTTGTGAACATCGACGCCACCCTCAGCGTGCCTGTCCTATCTGCCGGGGTGGGGGGTCCTCTTCCTAACTGGTCTCAATAGAATCAAGCAGGTCGGGAGCAACACTGATTATAGGACATATAAAGCTTTCGATACTTGGAAAAATGGAAAAAAAATTAAAAAAAAATTCAGAAAAAACGAAAAAACGAAAAAAGAAAATAAGCAAAAATATAAAATATCATTTAATTATGTTGAACTTTGTTGTGACAGTGGCAATTGGTTTATCTGAGGGATGTGTCAATTGCTTTGCTATTCACTGGATCCCTCTCTTTCACTCTTTTTCTTGCCTCTGAGGTTTGGTTTCCTCCTCCTTTTCTTTACCTCTTTGCCTTTTGGCTGCGTGCAAGTGGGTCCTTGTGACACACGCTGATGGGGGCA